CTTGTCCTTTGAAAGACAGTCTGTAACCTTCAGGTTATACTTATGTATACTGGAGGACTCAACGCTGGCAAACAAAACTGTTGGCCAGTTCAGGGGGATAACCCCTTCTGCTACCTGCATGGCTCAGTTTTTTGCTAGTTTCCTAGGACTATGGTCATCTTTTCTTCAGCTCTGCTCTGCTTTCTTAAGCACTATACTATTTTTGCTAGCACCTCCTTTTTTTACGCAAACTTGTTTCTTCAGTCAAGACTCTTCTTTATATCACTGCTATTGCTGATCTCTTTGATTGCAGTGATCCAGCGTAGCGATCCTCATCCTGGTTCTGGAGTGCTGCACCTAGGAGCTCTTTCCAGGTCTAGAGTCACTAGTAATGCTTTATCGCTAGTCCTGTCTCTGAAGACCCACCTTATTAGAAGGCTGGTTGGGCTGAGCTGCAGGAGTCATCTCATTTTACTCTGGGTCACTGTTTTTCACCGGTTTCCACTGAGAAGTGTCACCTGCTCTCTTTCCTGCCATGCAAAATTGAACAAGCTGTTTTCACTGTGGCTCCTGCATACGAAGAACCAAGTGGAACCCTGATGTTTGGTCCATTCCTGTTGCCAACCTACAGTGTCTTTGTTCACCTTCGGCCATCCAATCCTCACCTACTACCAACTCTGTCTAGGTTTCTTGGGGTATCTTAGATTTTGACTCTTACGCTGAGTATTGTGTTGCTTTTCTGCTAAGCAATTGCAACATATCAGAAACTTAGCTTGTATCTTTGACACTTGGGTTCAGTAGTTGGTATCCCAGGACTACAAACTGAAGTTTCACTCCCTGACCGCTCCTTAATGTCTCACCATCAACCCTCCTGCACCACACAAATTAACAGATCTCTGGTGAGCCCTGTTTGGTCTTCTATACTATGGTGTTATTACCCCTGTTTCTGTAGCAGACTGGTTTTAAGAAATTTACTATAGTCTGTGTTATGTTCCCAAACTCTTGGCCTCTATCAAACAATGTGTCTTGGACTGTTCAGGTGCTACCGTGGTTCAGTTTGATCTTGAACCTTCTGAAATTGAAGCTGGAGCTGACTCATTGTTTTTGGAGTTTCTGGACACAGCTTAGGCCAGAGTGCTTCTTCTACAATGGGAAACCTCAAACATTACAGTCTCAGATTTGATCTCTCCTATCCAGTAGTGGACCAGCTCTCTGATTTTTCATCAGAGTCTTGGGCCTGATTTGCCCATTTTGCTCAGTTTCACTCCTGAACTCTACAAAACAACATTCTGTCCTTGTGGTAAAAGTCACACAAGTCCCTGAAAAAACTTTATTACTTTAGAACCAGGTTGTCACTGGCTTGGTGGCTCAGGAGTCTGGCTCTAGAATCCTTGCCCCCCCCCCCTTTTTTTTTTTTTCTCATCACGATCCTCATGATGGATGCCAGTCTGTACTGCTTGGGGGGAGTCCTGAGCACCTTGTCATTCTGAGGATTTGGTAATCTTTTCTCCTGATCAACATTCTGGTTCTTTGGTTGATATGGCTGCCCCTGCAATGTTGGACTATGCTACTGGAAGGTCATTTGATCAGCATTCAGTGTGTCACAATGGTGGCGTATGTCATCCTGAGGAGGAACAAGAAGTCTCTGTTGCCAGGAAAATAGAAGTTCATCAAATCATGTCCTGGTCACAACATTCCAGGAATAGACAGGAATAGCAGCGACTGGACCCCTGGTCATGTAGACCTTATACCCGGAGATTCCTTTGATGCTTAAAGCTAGGAAGGCTACTTCATGCAAGGACTATCATTAGAAATGGAAGACATAACTCACTATGCTTAAGTCTCAGGTCTTCCACCCTAGGAGTTTCTCTGTAGGACAGATCTTTTTTTTTTTTCCCCTGCAGATGAGTCTGAACCAGCATTTGCATCTCAGCTCTGCCCAGGTCCCAGTTTCTGCCCTTTCTACCTTTTTCAGAAACTGTTGGCCTCTCACTCTCTGACTAGGACCTTTCTACAGAGAATCTTCCATGTAGCTCCCTCTTTTTTTTCCTCAATGACTTAGTGGGATCTGATTCTCTTCACTCAGGCTCATTTGTTGAACCTGTTAAGAGACTTTCCTCTCGGTTTTCACCCACCAGGTGGTATTCTGTGTTGCAGTTATCTCTGCAGGGTGAGGCGCCGAATTGGTGGCTTTATCCTGAAAAGAACAGTTTTTGGTATTGCAGAAGGAGTAGATGGGTTGAAGCCCAGAGCTTTCACTTCAACCAGGATATCCTTTTTTCCTTCTGTCCAGCTACAGTTCACCAAAAGAAATTTCTCTACATTGTCTGGATGTACTTAGAGAGCATCCAATGTTTCTTTCAGAAAAAATTGATTCCTTTCTGTTCATCCTGGGTGGTCCCTGTAAGGGTGCACCGGCATCTCACTCTGCCATCTCTAGATGGCTTAGATAGTCCATCATCCAAACTTAGTCTCTAGATTCGGATCTACCCTTTCCTGTCAAGGCGCACTCTTCTAGATCCGTAAGTGCTTTTTTGGTTTTACGGCATCAAGTAACTGTCTCTCAGATTTGCAAGGCTTCCACTTTGTCTCCTGTTTTTTTACGATCTCTAAGATCTACTTGGTAGATGTTTCGGCTGCCAGCTTCACCCATATGGTCCTTCGGGCGGCTCTTTTAGCTGCAGGCAGTACCAAGTTGTTTTTTTTCTTGGGCATGTTGGCATTTGTTTGGTGTGTTGCCCACCCTTCAGTTAGACAGCTTTCAGACTTCCAGAAAGTTAAAGACTTCTTGTTTCAATCAATGGAAGAGAAAGCATATAGGATTTTTGTATTTGCTGTAAAATTCTTTACTTGGAGTTCATTGCCGGTCACAGGTCCCATCCCTCTGTGTTTTTATGGTCATTCTCTCAGTACTGCTTTGCTACAAAACTGTGGCATGCTGGTAGTAGTAGAGGTTGTCCAATCCTTCTGTAGTTGGTAGTCCTAACCTAAAGGTTCAAGACTTCTTTTGTCGCTCCAAGAAATACAGCAACTAAAACATTTTCTATTTTAGTAGAATGAGAAATGGTTACAATTTGTGACAGTGGTTTTATTGCTTTCCCAGTAACATTCATTCCCTCCATCGTTTGTGAGGGTGTCACAGATAGAGGAAGTAAGTGAAAATCCCCCCAATGGGATAACAGACAGCATTTAAACCTGACAGAGCAGTTCCCTGCTCTATAACAAAATGGTCTAGTTTGTGGTAGAGACAGCGCTAGGCTGACTGGATCAGCCAGTGGTTGTGGGTGGGTGGGTTGTGTGGGCAAAGAGAAAGAAATCCCTTTCAGTAGGTCATGCTCAATGGTGATGGTGGATCTTCTTAGGGGCTTGTGCTGCTGCCATTCTGATACGGCCTTTTGCTCGATTCAGCAAGAAAAACTTGGATTTGATAGAAGGAGCTCCCGGTGTCTTGAAAACTGCAACTTTGATACATGGTTCATAGAATTGTTTATTAAAAGTGTAAACATGTACATCAAGCCAACGCTTGAGGAAGGAATTTTTTCCCTGCAGGAGCAAATTGGATCGTGCTTTGCTGAGTTTTTTGCCTTCCTCTGGATCAACTGTGGGTATAGGATTATAACTTTTTTTTTTTTTTATATGGTTGAACTGAATGGACTTTTTTCTTTTTTCAGCCAGGCTAACTAACGCATTTCAAGGGAATGGACTCCCTCTTCTTCAGGGCTGTTGGTGCGTGCTATTGGATGGGAATGGTTCCCAAAATGATAAATTGCTTACTAGGGTTCTACTGGGATCTGGGGATGGATCCTTTGAAAGGCTCAGATTTTTAGGAAGTGATGCGCACATTTTTTTTATCGCACAGAAAGTTTCACGGTCTTATGAACCATACATCAAAGTAGCAGTTTTCTGGACACTGGCTGCGCCTTCCATCCTACCCAAGCCTATAACAAAGTTGGAAAACTTTGGGGTACAATCCTTGTGCAACTGTTTTTGCTCTGTGTATTATGTTTCTGGCTTGTATTGAACCTTTGGTCAGTCCATACAAAACTGATATTTTAGTAGGTATTGGACTGTAGTCATGTGAGCTTTTAGCTTCTTGCATCACTCAGGCTTTCCAAAAGGAGTTCCCAGCTGGAGTTCCTTGCTCTCCCCTCCATCTCTTCCCTCTATAGCAGTGGTTCTCAACCTGTGGGTCGCAACCCCTTTGGGGGTCGAACGACCCTTTCACAGGGGTCCCCTAAGACCATCAGAAAACACATATTTCCGATGTGTAAAGAGCAGCTACTGTGTAGAAAGCAGCTGCTGTGTTGAAAGCAGCTACTGTGTTGAAAGCAGCTACTCTGTTAAAAGCAGCTACTGTGTTGAAAGCAGCAGTATTGGAGGTAAAACGACACTCATGAATTATAATTACTGGGTAAATAATTTTATGGTTGGGGGTCACCACAACATGAGGAACTGTATTAAAGGGTCGCGGCATTAGGAAGCTTGAGAACCACTGCTCTATAGCAACAAAGGGAGTCTTGATTTCATGCAGTGACACCACCTTGCTCAGGGCCATGACAGATGGATGGGTGGAGCTGGGAACTTAGATGTGGGGTACTTTGAGATGGAATTCCTGAGAGGTGCATGAAAGGCACTGGGTATTTTTACTTACCCGTATCTACCTAAATCAAATATCAGATTTGCTTGACTGACCCTTTAAGTTTTTTGCTTTATTTTTGTTTCTTTTTTTTTTATGTTTTCTAACAAGTATTTTTTTCACCCCATCACTGTTCCGTTGTCGTTTTTTGTGGCTTGGTTAAACCATTTCATTTGTCATACTGCCTTCCCATCTTTTCTGTGTCCTGTACATCTCTCTATATATGTATACCCTTTTCTCCTTATACATATATATCGATGTGTGTGCAACTGATCTAAACTATATCAAACCCCCTCCTTTTCTTCTTTCATTCATTTTGATTTGTCACAAACCTCCCTTTTTTTTCTTTACACCACCAAGATTTTATTTATGTCAATAACTACAGGGCAGCATGCTGCAGAAGGGAAGCAGAAATGACGTTTACTGCCCTCCGCCCCACTCCATCACCACCGGCTCTGCTCATCCCATCTCCGTCTCCCCCGGTCCTACCACACCCCAGCTTCTCCATAAGCATCGGTAAGTCAAGCTGAGCCTTCACCCGCCCTACTTGGTGTCTTTCACTGTCCAGGCTTCTGTGTAATTGTTATTGTTCTTTGTGACCTTACAATTTTACTCAGTTCAGTTAATGTCAATGTAAACCCAATCACAAAATATCTTGCGTTAGATTTAACATGTTAAAATAATTTCAAAAGGCTGTTTCAATATTTTGCAATCTGCAGCTTTCATTAAACATCTTTCATTAAAATAATACCTGGTATTTCTGCCATGAAGGTCCTCATTGAGGCACTGTTAGAGTGACAACACTCTGGGGTTGATTTACTAAAGGCCAATAGACTGTGCTTTAAAAAAAAAAATGTAACTTTGCAAAGAATATACAATCATCTGCAAGGAAAAAAAATGCATTTTTGCTTGCACATGATCGGTTGATGGAAGTTTGCAGAGCTTCCCTCATTTTTACTAATTTCTGGCGCAACTAGACTTACAAAGTGCACGGTCTAATTTGCCTTTAATAAATCAACCCCTATATCTCCAATTTGTGCTCCCAAGCTGTCACCCCGTCGTATGGGTTTCTGATGGAAACTACATGTGACTACCAGGGCGGACTGACCATTTGGAAACTCAGGCACTGCCCAAGGGCCCGGGGTCAGTAGGGGGCCCCATGAGATGCCCCTGGTACCTTTTTCATAGGCTTTTTTGAGTTTGGGCAAGGACACGGGCCCCATGATCCCCTATTGCCCGGGGGCCCCATGAGTTGTCAGTCCGCCCCTGGTGACAAAACACATTATGTAGGCATGGCCCACTGTTGTCACCATCAGGTAATCTGCCCTGGGCAATACCATGCAGCCATTGCTCACAGTGTGCAGTACAAGGCCTGTGACTCAGGGTAACAACCGTGCACTTGTCTGTTTCTCCCACCGATGTTTCTCTTGTTCAGCACAGGCCAGGCAGAGAAGAGGTGCTTATAATGGAAGGTAGATGCATAGGCAGATTGTAAGGAAGAGATGAGCACTTTTTTTTATAGCAGGAAGTTTCAATCTAAGAAGAGAAAATAAAGAGATCTGTTGCATCTTGCTGCCACTGTTGGGTTTTTTTTTATATGCGCATTGAGACCATCTTGCAATATCTGCAGCAGATTGGATTAGAGTGGGAATCTCAGCTAGAGATATCATTACTGGAGCCCCCAAAAGTTGTAAGGTGAATAATCCTACATTAGTCAAGGTTCTACACTGATTTCTGAATTAAAGTACCGGAAATAAAAGGTCAAAAGAAAAAAAAAAAGGTTTTCATTTTCCCCATCTCGCAAACCATGTCTCAGATGTCCGCTTTCTTCCAAGAATGTTCAATCTCTTTTGAAGAATCTTCAGCATCCAGTACACTAGAGAGAATATTATTATGTCAGGTCACTCGCTGCATACTGAGGTTGCTGTGTCATTACTGTGTCCTGTAGGGATTAGTATCTGGTGGGTAGAACTGTATCTTGCAACTGTGGATCAGGCATATGAGGATACTCTTGGAGGTGTGTTGGATACTGAAGATTCCTCAAACAATGTAGCTTTTGAAAACCTCATAGATGTTGGGACAGGAATACCCAGACACTGCCTGATGGAAAAAGTGGGGCAGACCTGTAATTTTGCTGGAATGCACTGGTCTAGACCTTGCTGTAGGTTCTCCCCTTGGTATGGAAAGCAATGTGTGGAATGAAGAGTAGATGAAGGCTGCTTTACAGGTCCAGGGCAGTGGTCTTCCATCAGCGAAGCCTTTCCCTGGAGAGCCCTGTGAGGCAATTCCCCTTGCAGAGGGGAAAGGCACAATGGGGTCTGAACCTTTTAAGCCTGAACAGCTTCAGCAGCAGTGAGTACAGGGTGAAAGCTTTTTTTTTTTTTTTTTTTTTTCTTTAATCAGGGTGAAAGCTTTTTAAATATTCATGCTAAGGGTGCCATTATAATTCCTAAACCATTTGAGGTGTAAGGGTGCCAGCAGCCACCCTTCTAGCAGTTTAGAGCCAGAAGCATCAGGTTAAACTTGAATTTGGCACCTGTATGGTCCTGGCACTCACTGCACCTTTGGTGCTTCATTTTGGATTTGCTTGCAGTGGCTGTGCACCCTACCTTTTCCTCTTTCTGGATGTTCTTTCCAACCTGCAACAATTCCATGCTCTCTTCCATTGGCACAACACAGCAGTCTCTCCGCACTACTTGGGTTTAATACAGCCTCCAGTGCTTGGCACCAAGGTGTTCTCTATTGCATGAACAGCGTGGCTGACATATTTTGTGGGATCTCCAAGGTCTTCTCTTTATTCATATGTGTAAGATCCTTTCAGTTAAATGCTGGCCAGCTAAACTCCCATGGAAGAAGCGTCATGAGCAGTTACCCTTTGAATGGTGAATTCCTGTTTGGTATCTTCTTGGATAAATACAAGGAGATTACAGGGGGTAAGAGTAATCTTCTCCCCCCACAGAAGGAAAGCTTGCCCGATTGTACTGGTAGGACTTCTGGTGTTAGTAAAGGTTCCCTTTATCTCTCAGTCTTCCAGTTCTAAACCTAAGGCAAGAACATACTTTCATAAGAAGACATAACCCTCCAAGCGAGTCGGTCGTTGCCTTCCTCCTTCTGATAGATTTTTTGGCTTTAGTAGACATTCTGGATGCTTACTTGTACATTCCCATCTTACTCCTCACCAGTGCTATCTATGTTTTCCAGTGGATGAATCAGTAGTACCAATTTGTCACCTTCCATGCCCCCTGGGTTTTCACAAAGGTAATTGCCCTGGTCTAAGCTTTGCTCTGTGCACAGGGAACTTATTTTGTGGATTAATTGGATGATCTCCAGTTAAAGGATTAGTCCCCCCTTTTGCCTGTCAGCTAACATCTAGCAGACCATGCAGACTCTGCAGAGCTTCACTTGGAGCCTAGGTCTGAGGGAAGTTATTGCTGGACCCATATTGCAGATTGGAGTATTTGGGCCTAAAACACTAGAAATATCCCTGTCCAGGATCTTCCTGCCTTGGATCAAACTTCTTTCCTTCCATTCTCATATTTCAGCCCTCATGCCCAAGAAAACAGTGCCTGCGTGGAGGGGTTTTGGCTCAACAGTTGCATTCTTCAAGGCTGTGCTGTACGCAACTCGGTGATCTGGTAGTGTGGAGCAAAGTGTCTTTGGATCCCCATATGTCTGATCACCAAGGCCACATTCTCCTTAGCATGCAGGTCTCCAAAGAAGACCTTTCTCCCAAGGACGTGAAAGGTCCTCATGACAGATTCCAGCCTGGATGCCCTCTCAGTGCAAGGATCTTTGTCGCCAGGGGAAGCCTGCCTTCCCATCAACATTCTAGAGCTCAAAGTGATTCAGTTGCCCCTCAATGTTTGACCTTTCAATTGCAATACACCGAAGGAGAATCTAGTTGAACAATGCCACAGTCGTGGCCTACATAAATCATCAAGGAGACACCAGAAACCGCACAAAAAGAAAGACTTTTCTCTTTTGGGTAGAATGTCATGTTCTGGCTCTCTCCTGTGTCCACATTCCAGGCATGGAAATTGTCAAGTAGACTTTCTCAATCATCAGCATAATGACCCGAGAGCTGTCTTTGCAGAGGTCTGTCAGGCACATTGCCATGGGGAGGATGAGGTGTGACAGACATGAAGGAACAAGAGAACTTAGTGGGGGTCTAGGTACTCAGCACTCTTGGAAGCAATGAGCAAACATCACCCACACAGACAGTGGGATAAGCATTCAGTGTTTGTTTTTCTTTTTTATAGGCAATGCTTTTTTTTTTTTGTTATAGCCACAAATGACTAGATCAAGTGGGAAAGCTAGATGAGTGGATGAATGGGAATAGTAGGTTTGCTCTTCTATGTTTTTTCCAGATTTGAAAACCCTGATATATGATGTATTACTCTACCGAATATAACCTACACACCAAACTTTAAAATTGAACTATAATTGCATCCTTTTATGTGTCAAGTTTGAATAATAAAGAATAATTACATAACTCAAAACCATGATGAAGTTCTTCGTTTCTGATTCTATAATAATATGCAATTATTCCTGGGAAAAGTCAGTTTAAAGTGGTTGTAAAGGCTAAAGGTTTTTTACCGTCATGTATTCTAAAATCTTCTGTGTGCAGCAGCCCCCCTAGACCCCCCTAATACTTACCTGAGCCCCACTGGTATCCAGCAATGTGCACGAGAGACTCTGCTCCCTGGGGACTCTTTCTCCTCATTGGCTGAGACACAGCAGCCGAGGGCATTGTCTCCCACTGCTTTCAATCGCAGTCAGTGAGCCAATGAGAAGAGAGGGGGCGAGGCCGAGCCATGGCTTTGTGTCTGAAAGGACATGCAGAGCAGTGGCTCGGGAGCGAGCCTTCTTGGTTGCCCCCATAGCAAGCTGCTGTCTGTGGGGGCACTCCGCAGGAGGGAGGAGCCAGGAGCAACAGCGGGGAACCCAAGAAGAGGAGAATCAAGGCTGCTCTTTGCAAAACAACTGCACAGAGCAGGTAAGTATGACATGTTTGTTATTTAAAAAAAAAATCACCTTTAATATCACTTTAAATACTCAAGTAACTTTAAGAGATTGCCGATATCTGTGAATTCATACAAAAAGAACTTCATTTCTCTTAAGGTTCATTGAGTCTATTTATACAGACTTTTTTCCAGTATTCATTGCACATTTGCCATGCTTATCAATTTGATGTGTCATATGAACTCTACAGGCTCTATCATGAAACCTTCTGACATTGCAATACTGTGCAATCAATCACTCGGACGTTTAATCTCATTTTGTTTTGTAAATCTAATAAAAATGAATTGAAAATGGTTGTAGTTGAGGTTCTGGTTTAAAGTGCATGCCTAGCTAAGGCTTTTTTTCTTTAAAGTGGAACTAAACTCAGTGATACTCACCTTTGCTTCCACGGTCTGATGCCCGCGGTATCTTCTCCCCGGCTTCTTCCAGGTGCTGGTCTGCTGCCATCTTGATTGGCAAAGGATGATGTCACTCCCGTGCATGAGCAGGAGTGCAGTCACCCTGGCACACAGACAGGCACTGTAATGTAAATTGAGCTTTGCATGTGCAGCTCAGTGTACATTCTACAGAATACTGCAAGCAGGTTGGTTTTATTTATTGCAGAAAATACATTGCATGAAAGGACCGCATATATTAGACTTTAGCTCTGGTTTAATTTGGTTTGGCGTGCTGGATAGTTAGTACTGTCAAGATGGCCATACACTATACAAATTTCATCCCGTTCCTGATGACCCAGACAAAATTCGATCAGTGGGTGGCTCTTTTGCCATCCTGCCACCTCATATCAAGTCAGTTGGGAGGAAAGTTGCTGGCCAAATGGCGGGTCCAACTGTCAAAATGCAATGGTCGCAGCAGGAGCTTCGACCATCCATGCTGTATTGATGTGATGGAGAAATCAGTTAAAATCAGTAAAAATATTTTCTTTTTGTAGACTTTGGGAAGGCTAGAATACCTGTCAGATTTTTATTTCTGACTGTGTCCCTGTTGCAGATTTTTCTTACAGTCCTTTCTGGTAAAGCTGTTGTCAGCAGGACCGGAATTGGGGTTAAATCTCTCTATTGGAGTCCCATTTAGCAGTAAAACTGAGACAGGCGTTCTAGTGCTTCTCTTCTCTATTTTTTCAAAGACAAATGTTTTTTACTCTGGATATAAACTTTAGATCATAAAGATCTAGATGTTCTCTGATTTTTCTTTTGCAGAGACTCTCCGCAAGCCTCAGACAGCTTCCCCGGGACTTGTAGTAACACTTTTAAACACAAACCATTCAAACTCCATGAGAAACACAAAAGACCAGGTGTAGAATCTCCCCAACATTTCACTCCATCAGGCCACCCATCCAGGCTTTGCAGTACCTCCAAATGGACTCTCTTGCCCCAGGAACCAGCTGGAGACCTCTGCACTACCACAGCACAGGACAGCATCTCGGCACAAAAGAGTCAACTGCATATCATCAGCTGCAATGGGAACAGCAGGGTCAGAGAAGAAAGCAGCATAAGGAAAAAACACAAGAAGAAAAAGAGGAAAGCGTCTGAATCATCAGAAATTATGGAAAGGACAGAAAAAGTTATATCCCATTTGGACCCTGAAAGACAAAAACTTAAACTAGAGAAAACTAAAATCAAACCAAAGAAAGCCAAAAGTTTGCAGGGCCACACCTCTCCAAAACCTGTACCAGAGCCAACGAACAATGTTGAGAGTTCTCAGGAGACCATGAGGAAAAAGAAAAAGAGGAGAAAAGAGGAGAGACCAGTAGATTATTCAGACAGGGAGAGTGCAGCATCAGTGAAAAGGTAAGTGATTTCTTACTGCTGGCCATGATGTTGGCAAACTTTGGAGTGCACCCCCCCCCCCCCACCCCACCCCAACCCCCCCCCCTACCCCACCCAACCCTACCCCACCCCTTTCCCCACCCCCCCCCCCCCCTTTCCCCCCCCTCCCCCCCCCCACGCCCCCCCGCCCCTTCCCCCCCCCCCCGCCCCCCCCCCCCCCCTTCCCCCCCCCCCCCCCCCCTCCCCTCCCCCCCCCCCCCCTCCCCGCCCTTCCCCACCCTTCCCCACCCCGCCCTCCCCCCCCTCCCCCCCCCCCCCCCCCCCGCCCTTCCCCACCCCGCCCTTCCCCACCACGCCCCCCCCCCCTTCCCCCCCCCCCCCTTCCCCACCCTTCCCCCCCACCCCCCCTTCCCCACCCCTCCCCCCCCCGCCCCTCCCCCCCCCCCCCCCCCGCCCCTCCCCGCCCCTCCCCCCCCGCCCCCCCCCCCCCCCCCCCCCCCCCCCCCCCCCCCCCTCCCCCCCCCCCCCCCCCCCCCCCCTCCCCCCCCTCCCCACCCCCCCCTCCCCACCCTTCCCCCCCACCCTTCCCCTCCCCACCCTTCCCCTCCCCCTTCCCTTCCCCTCCCCACCCTTCCCTCCCCACCCCCCCCCCCCCTTCCCTTCCCCACCCCACCCTTCCCCCACCCCTCCCTTCCCCACCCCTCCCTCCCTCCCCACCCCACCCTTCTCTTCCCCACCCTTCTCTTCCCCACCCTCTCTCTTCCCCACCCTTCCCTTCTCTTCCCCACCCTTCCCTTCTCTTCCCCACCTTTCCCTTCTCTTCCCCACCCTTCCCTTCTCTTCCCCCACCTTTCCCTTCTCTTCCCCACCCTTCCCCACCTTTCCCTTCTCTTCTCTTACACACCTTTCCCCCTTCTCTTCCCCACCTTTCCCTTCTCTTCCCCACCTTTCCCCCTTCTCTTCCCCACCTTTCCCTTCTTTCCCCACCTTTCCCTTCTCTTCCCCACCCTTTCCCTTCTCTTCCCCACCCTTCCCTTCTCTTCCTCACCCCACTCTTCTCTTCCCCACCCCACTCTTCCCTTCCCCCCCCCACCCCACTCTTCCCTTCCCCATCCTACCCTTCCCCACCCCATCCTACCCTTCCCCCACCTCATCCTACCCTACCCATATCCTCACCCTACCCCATCCTACCCTACATTTCCTCATCTTACCCCACCCCATTTTACTCTACCCTTCCCCACCCTACCTCAAAACAACCACCAAGACCGTCAGCTGTCTCTGATTTTTAGAGCCAGGCATAATTTGTACAGCATAGCATGAGTCTTTAATCTGTTAAACTCAACTGTGAAGTTGGACCTTGAAAGGAAGGATCCTACTCAGCTGATTACAGCTATCGGCATTGTGGGGCCGCTACTTCAAAACTCAGATTACATCACTACATAGGTGGAGTTTGAGCGGAAAAAAGACCTGCTGCACTGAATAAAAGTGACTTATGTGGGGATAGCTAGTAATGCCCTCAAAATCTGGGACTCTTTAGGGTCTGGTGGTGGGGTCCTGAATATGGTGGACCCAGGGCAACTGCCCTTTTATATTATGGTTTGCTGGCTTGATCTACAGCTTGTCTTTTTCTTTTGTTATATACAGGTTCTCTTTACACTCTGCCATCCAGAATGATGGCAGCATTAATATGAATGTGCAATACTGTCTATACTCTCTACATGTTATAATTGTGCAATGTTTCCCCCCCCCCCCCCTTAGTACAAACATAGTGTCACTCCAGGATGCACAAGGGGATCATGAAATCATGAAAATAAAGAAGAAGAAAAAGCATAAATTGCACAAGCATGATAGTCAAGAGAGTGAAGAGAGCGAATCTGCCAAAGGACAAAAGCATAAAGCTCAGGAAATAAATTGTGGTAAGAAATAACCAGAACACTTTGGCCAGTGGTTTAAAAAATGCCCCAACATCTGAGAGAATAATCAGTGTCCCAGGCTCAGAGGGAGGAAATAGTGTGTTGTCATTGGTGTCGATGGATTAAATAATGCCCCATCATTGGTGTCATTGGGAGTAATAGTGCCCCACTGTTGGTGTCAGTGGGAGGAATGGGGCCCCAAGGGCCAGATAAGAGCAAGCAAAGAGCTGCAACTTTCCTGCGGACTGCAGTTTGAATACCACTGATATAAATGAAAGTAAAATAATTCAGAGAGCTCACTGGCTCTGGTTAGGCATTTCACAATTAAAAAGTGGCTATCCTATTAAGCTCTTGCTGCCCACGTAACTCATATGCAGCGGCAAAGAGGGTGGGCTTTAAAGTGATTCTAAATGTACAAGGCTCCCAACACAAAGACTGAGCTGTCCTAGACCGCTCCTGGTCTCTAGTAATGATTGGGAGCTCACAGGACCATGTGACAGCCAAGCAATGTGGTCACGTGATCTGGCAGACCTTCCCGCTTCCCCAGGCAATAATAGTCCAGTTAAAGGGATCGGTGGGAAGGAGATAAATTTATATTGAGAACATTTTTTGTCCACTTGTTATCTTGTATTAAGGGAAAAAAAATTAAATTTCTGTATCAAATTAAATCCTTATATATTCTTAACCACTTCCCGACCGGCCGTTGCATATAAACGGCCGGACGGTGGCAGTACAGGGTCGGGTGGCCGTTTATGAAGGGTCGGGTGGTTCCCCGGTTTAAGAATGGCCTCCCCGCACCCTGCTTGTGCGCGCTCCCTGGGAGCGCGCAGCACCACGATCTGATGCCCGCTGTGTCCTCTGGACACAGTGAAACACCGATCGTCGGACGGGACCTCTGTACAAGGTCCCGATCATGTGATCACTGATTGGCTAATCAGTGATCACATGCAAAGTAGTAAGCAAGATGTCACTTGTGACATCATTGCTTACTACGTGTGAAATCTGTGAATGATCACAGAGGTCACATGGTACAAGGCTATTCACAACAGCCTTGTACCATGTGACAAGCTGTGACCAATCACAGCTCACTCAGTACTTCTCAATGAGTGCAGGAATGCACACAGAGAGAAAGAGAAATGATTGCTTTTACATCCTATATGGGTGTAAAAGCAAACATTGTAAAAAAAAAAAAAAATCTTCATCACCCTCCACAAGTAGTACAGTGTCACCATGGTGACACTGTACTGCTAGGGTGACAGTATGTAAAAATAAATAAATAAAAAATAATATAAAAATGTAAAAAAAAAATGTTTAAAAAGTTTTATTTTTGGTTATAAACTAATTTGTTTTTTTTTTTTTTACTAAAAAGATAACGGAATACATTTTGGCAAAGATTTAAGATGAAATATTATTTATTTGCAAAATTTTATTAAAAAAACAAAAATTGTTGGACTTTTTCATTTACATAGCAAAAAAAAAAAAAAAAAAAAAAAAAAAATCCCAGCAGTGAATAAATACCACCAAAATAAAGCTTTATCTGTCTCAAAAAAATGGTAAAAAATTCATATGGGTACAGTGTTGCATGACCGCGCAGTTGTCATTCAAAGTGTGATCTATTTATTTAGAGGTTGTATAGAAGCAAAGACATAGCATGCTACCTACAAAATAATTCTCAGAGTAGAATACACACTATTCAATGAAACATACAAAGTATATGTAAGAATAAAAAAAATAAGGGACCATGAACCATCTGCTTCCTGACCCCTGGTTCACATCTATCCATGCAGCTGCACCACCCGCACAGAGAAATGCGGACCCGCAGGCGGGTGCAATTCGTTCTAATGGCACACCGCCCACACTGGGGAAACGCAACCGTACTGGGAACCGAGTTCCCGTGCGGGCTGCGTTTTCCAAAGAACAGCAGGACTTCTTTCCTGCGTGTCACGGGAGTCCACTCAAATAAATGGGATCTCATGCCCCGTGCAAAACGCAGCCCGCAACGGCCGCATAGGTGTGAACCGGGAGGTCAGACACTTGTGCTGACTCGGCTCTGCCAGCAAAGGGCACTGGAGCAGGGAGGGAAGAGCAGCATTTACCACTAAGAGAAAAAAAATATTTTAAAGTGGAAGAAACACACACACTACCTCTTCTTCCTACCTATCCTGACCTATTAAAAAAAAAAAAAATGGTGTGTTTACTTACCTATTTTTAATCCGTTCGGGTCATGTGATCCTGCAGCTCCAGTCCCCATGTTGTCAGTGTGCGGGCTGCTGCAAGGGAAAGGAGGATGTGCCGACAATGGCCATGGCCATGGGAGCCTATGGGTGATGTCATGGCTGCCAGAATTCCCAGGCATTGCCGAGAGCTCCCTCCTGCAGGCGGAGCTCCTGGATCACGTCACAGAATAGGCAAGTGCTCACACATTTTTTTTTTCTATTCAGGTTTATTTATTTCAGGTATCTTATATAGCGCCGTCAATTTACGCATTCACATCAGTCCCTAACCCTCAAGGGGCGTACAATCTAAGGTCCCTAACTCACATTCATACATACTTGAGGGACAATTTAGACAGGTTCCAATTGACCTACCAGCATGTCTTTGGAGAGTGGGAGGAAACCCACGCAGTCACAGGGAGAACATGCAAACTCCAGGCAGGTGGCAGCACTAGGGTCATTCGTTTGAATCTCAGCCACGGCACCACCTGCCTGGAGTTTGCATGTTCTCCCTGTGCTTGCGTGGGTTTCCTCCGGGAACTCCGGTTTCCTCCCACAATCCAAAGACATGCTGGTAGGTTAGGGACTGATGTGAATGTTCGTTCTCTCTCTCTCTCTCTCTCACACTCTCTCTCTATAAAGCGCTGTGTAAATTGACAGCGCTATAAAAGTACCTGTGATAAATTAAATTAATTTTAGATATGGGTTTTTCTCATTCATTATCCAACAGTTTTTTCCACCCCCTCTAGTGACTGTCATTCCCCCCCATCCCCCGTCAACAGCTTTCGCTTATCTCACTACATTCTCTAGTTTTAGTACCATTGTTGTGTACATTTGTTTGTTGTTTTTTTTTCCCTCAGAGATTCTCTTTGTAACATTCTGCTAAATCTTGTGAATGCAGCACTGCTTGGACCTTAATGAAGGGGATATACCCCGAAAGCTTGTCCTGGAAAATTAAAAACAAAAAAAAAAAAGTATCATGGAACAGTACTCATTTGGTTTGGTGGGTGTCCCCAGAAACTGTAATAAAGGGGGAAGTTTTCCCTTTGGGACCCTAGTTCTGGTGACACAACAGGGATTCAGCTCACTTAGGATGGATTTCCTCTTGCTTCATGTTTTGGCTATAGGACAGGAAGTCAGGGGAAACTCTCCCCAATAGGAGTCAGATGGCACAAAAAAAAACCCTCCCTCACTCCATCCAAAATGAAGGGGGGAAAAAAGAGCTTTGCCTTTGGTAACATTTTTCTAGGCTAACTTAGTCACAAATAAAAATGTGGGGTTTACAGAACTTTAAAGTGGTAGTAAACGACCCCCAAAAAATTGGGCCCCTGCAGGTTTATGCTATATATGTGCTTAGTATGAACTGCATGCTAGCACATTATGAACATACTTGCCTTTCAGACCCGGGGCTTCCATCTTCACGCAGTCTTCCTTCTGGGTTTGGGGGCTTCTGGTTGTTTGAATGGCCAGGTCCATGATGACAGCACGGCGCTTTGCATTTCACGGCATAAATGTGTGTCCTGAATGCAGAACATCACTGTACATGCACGGGTGACATTTATCATGTGAATATCTCTAAACCTGGGATCTCCAACTGTAAAAACAACTGGACCCAGTTTACTACCCTTCAAACTTTTATGGGGGCTGTACTGTGGCCAGTGGGGTGTAGCAAATGTCCTGCATTGATGGGAGTAAACAATGCCAAATGGACCAATTAATCACTGGTGTCCAGTGGGAGGGAATTAGGGCCTCCACATTGGTATCAGGGGAGGAATGGGCCCATCATGGTTCAAGCGGGAGGTATTAGTGTCCCTCATTGGTAATCAGTGGGGGGAATTTTGTCCCTAAATTTGGGGAACAGTGGGAGGAAAAGTGGGCCCCCTCATTGGTTCAGGGGGAGGAATAATGGTTTCCCTCAATTGGGACAGTGGGGGGGTTTGGCCCCCCCCCCGGTGTCAGTGGGAGGAATAAAGTCCCCTCATTGGTATCAGTGGGAAAGGGTAGGGCCCCTCATTGGGTTTTCCCGCGGGAGGAATAGTGCCCCCCTTTGGTATCAGGGGAGGAAAATTGTGTTCCCATCCCTTTGGGATCGCGGGGGGGAATAGTGCCCCCATCATTGTGTCAAACGGGAGGAATGGCCCCCATCATTGGTGTCCGCGGGGGGGAAAAGGAATTAAATGCCCCCCCCCCCCCAACCAATTTTTTTGGGGTTTCCCCCCCCCCCCCCCCGGGGGGGGGGAATAGTGCCCCCCTCATTGGTGTTTTTGTGGAAGGGAAAAAAGTGCCCGATCATTGGTATCGTGGGGAGGGAAAAGTGCCCCTTTATTGGTGTCGGGGGGAGGAAAAAAGTGCCCCATCATTGGTGTTAGTGGAAGGAATAGTGCCCCATCATTGGGTTTCCCGTGGGAGGAATAGTGCCCTCCTTGGTGTCCCCGTGGGAGGGGAAAAGTGGAGTATCCCTTGGTATCAGTGGGGGGAATAGGGTTCCCATTTATTTTTTTTTCCGGGGGGGGAATAGTGCCCCATTTGGTGTCAGTGGGAGGAATAGTGTCCCCCCTCTTGGTTCGGGGGGAGGAAAAAAGTTTTCCCCCTCATTGTTGGGCAAATGGGGGGGAATAGTGCCCCCTATTGGTTTTCAGTTGGGGGGAATATTGGGCCCCACATTGGGGGTCCAGGGGGAGGGGAATTTTTTTTTGTGCCCCTCATTTTTGTTTAGGGGGGAGGAAAAGTGCCCCATCTTGGTATCAGTGGGAGGAATAGTGCCCCCTCTTTTGGGGTCAGTGGGTGGAAAAGTGCCCCATCATTGGGTCAGTGGGAGGGGAAAAGTGCCCATACATTGGTCGGTGTCAGTGGGAGGAATAGTGCCCATCATTGGGGTCAGTGGGAGGAATAGGCCCCTTCATTGGTGTCAGTGGGAGGAATAGTGCCCCATCATTGTTGTCAGTGGGAGGAATAGTCGCCCCATCATTGGTGATCCAGTGGGAGGTGTTTGGGGTACCCTTCATCTGTTGGGGGTGGGCCGTGAGTGGGTTGCCCCATCATTGTTGTCAGTGGGAGGAGTAGTGGCCCCCTCATGGTATCAGTGGGAGGTATAGTGCCCACATCAATGGTGTCAAGTGGGAGGAATAGTTGCCCATCATGTGTCAGTGGGAGGAATAGTGCCCCATCATTGGTGTCAGTGGGAGAAGAGTGCCCCATTCATGGTGTCAGTGGGAGGATTTTGTGCCCCATCTTGTAGGTCAGTGGGAGGAATAGTGCCCCATTCATGTTGTCAGTGGGGGAATAGTGCCCCATCATTGTTGTCATGGGTGGAATAGTGATCCTAATTTGGGATCATGGGAGGGGAAAAGTTTCCCCTTTATTGGTGTCAGTGGGGGAAAAAGTGTCCCATCTTTTGGTAAAAAAAATTGGGAGGAAAGTGCCCTCATTTGGGGTCAGTGGGAGGAATGTGGCCCATCATTGGTGTCAAAAGGGGGGGAATAGTGGCCCCCCATTTGGGATCGTGGGGGAATAGTGTCCCCTCATTGTTGTCCCGTTGGGAGGGGGAAAAGTGCCATCATTGGTGCAGTGGGAGGGAATTTGTGCCCCATCATTGGTGCAGTGGGGAGGGAAAAGGTTTCCCCTTTTTGGGATTTAGTGGGAGGAATTTTGTGCCCATTTATTTTGTCAGTGGGAGGGAAAAGTGCCCCCTCTTTGGGGTCAGGGGGAGGGAATTTTGTGCCCCTTCATTGGTTTTAAATGGGAGGAATAGTGCCCCCAAACATTGGTTTTTCAGTGGGAGGAATAGTGCTCCATCATTTGGGTTTAGTGGGGGGAATTGTGTCCCGTCCTTGTTGTCAGGGGGAGGAATTAGTTGCCCCGTCATTTTGTCGGGGAGGAAAAAGTGCCCCATCATTGGGTGTCAGGGGTGGGGGGAAAAGTTTCCCCTTTTTTTGGTATCAGTGGGGAAAAAGTGCCCCATCATTGGTATCGTGGGAGGAAAAGGGCCCCCTCATTGGTATCAAAGGGGGGAATAGTGCCCCATCATTGGTGTCCGTGGGGGGAATAGTGGGCCCCTCTTTTGGGATTGGGGAGGAATTTGTGTTCCCCTCATTGGGGATCAGGGGGGGAATAGTGCCCCATCATTTTGGGATCAGGGGGGGGAAAATAGTGCCCCATTTTATTGGTGGGCAGTGGGGGGGTATGTGCCCCTCAATTTGGGTTTAAATGGGAGGAATTTTTTTTCCCCATCATTGGGTTTTCAGTGGGAGGAAAAAGGGGCCCCCATCATTGGTATCAGTGGGAGGAATAGGGGCCCCCCCCATTGTCCCCTGGGGGGAAAAGTTTCTCCATCATTGGAATTCCCTGGGGGGGAATTTGTACCCCTTTATTGGTATTGTGGGGGAATAATTTGAAACCAAATTTTTTTCAAATTCTGAAGGCTTTTCATTTGTCCAAAAGCCGGGGTTTCTGATTGAGCACCCCTTAAACCCTTTCCCTCCCCTTTGAAAAAAAAGACCCTTTTTGGTTTTTGGTTTCTATGTTTTTAATTGCCCGATTCAGTCCTTTTTTTTTCTGTGCAGACTCTGTTTTTTATGGGGCAGCCCCCATCCAAAAATGGATACAAAAGGGCTTCCCTCCAATTTCCCGTTTTCAAAAAAAAAAGCCCGGATGGCCGGGGGTGGCCCCGGGGAAAATTGGGGTGTTGTTTAAGGCTACTGAAGAAGCCGGCAAAAAAGCCCATGGGCCCCAAGGTGAGATTTTGGGGCACCCGGGGCCTTTAAAAAACCCAACTCCCCCCATTTTTTGGGTTTTTTTTGAAAATTTGGAGGGGGAAGGGGTTAAAGAAGAATTCCAGGTAGGATATTTTATAACATAGTGTACATTGGTCCAGCTTGGACCATGTAACTATGTATATCCATACCTGGCTGATGCCCCTGGAAGCTGTAAATTCACTGAAGTAGACAATGTACTCAGTGATCCCCATTTGCTTCCAGGTCTTTGTTGATCCTGCTGCCCAGCTGATTCTCAACACACGGTCAGTCCCTTGGAGTACAGTCGTCATCCAGAGAATGCTTTGTATTTCCTGAAATGAATGCAATGCATTATCTGGATGGGATCGAAAAGAGGGCGAGTGATGTCACACTCTACACCTCAGTGCAGACAGGACAGCAATTTGCTTTTGCCTTTTCTGAAGAATGCATTCTGTGAATGGTGCCCTGGGACAAGGGCAACCATCTGTGTTCAGAATGTAACAGGGCAGCCACTCGGCATTGGACCTGGAAGCAAGTGGGTAGATTAATGGAGAAGCGGTTGTCTGCTTCAGTGATTTCCAGCTTCCAGGGGCATTGGCCAGGTATGGTCTCTACATAGTTACATTGGTCCAAGCTGGACCAAAGGTAACTATGTATAAATTTATCCAATTATCCATACCTGGAATTCCTCATTTAACCGCTCTTGCCGCCTGCCACTGTGTATATACGTGTGGCAGGGCGGCAGTGGAGCGCAAAACCACGTTTTAAAACGGGTTCCGCGCTTCCGACACTTTCGCCGGCAGGGGGCGCGTGGGGCGCGCGTGCTCCCGCCGACCGCGGGTGACACGATTTGATCCAGGAGGGATCAATCATTAGATTTCAGCCAGTGATTTCTGGCTGAAAATCACATGATCGGTCCCTGTCTATCCTGTCCTGTGTTGACAAATACACAGGGGCAGGATATGATGTCATTCTTCTCTGCCTGGACACATTCCGTTCCAGACAGAGAAGAAAGACATCCATAAAGTGAGTACACAAGCACTACACTACAGTTAGAACACTCTAGGACACATTTAAACCCTCTGATCGCCCCCCCCCCCCCCCAGTTTAACCCTTCACTGCCCTGTCACCAGTGTCACTGATCAGTGAAGCGTGATTTTTAGCTGATCAGTGTCGCTGGCGACTTCCGTATAGAGCTAGCGCCCCTCCCAGGATAGCGCCAGTTTGCCCGCCAGTACACCGAGGAATCCCGAGTTTAACCCTTTGATCGCCCCCCCCCCCCCTTGTTAACCCCTTTGCACTGCCCTGTCACCAGTGTCTACTGATCAGTGAACCAATTTTTACTGATCACTGTATCAGTGTGCCGCTGGCGACTTCCGATAGAGTTAAGCGCAACCCCTCCCAGATAGCGCCGGTTCTTCTGTGTTTGCCCGCCAGTACACCAGTACGAGTAATCGCCGTTTAACCCTTGATCGCCCCCCCCCCCCCAGTTAACCCCTTCACTGCCCTGTCACCAGTGTCACTGATCAGGTGAACCAATTTTTACTGATCACTGTGATCAGTGTCGCTGGTGACTTCCGATTAGTGTTAGCGCCCCTCCAGATAGGGCCAGTTTGCTGCCCGCTCAGTACACCAGTAATCCCGTTTAACCCCTTGATCGCCCCCCCCCCCCAGTTAACCCCTTCACTGCCCTGTCACCAGTGTCACTGATCAGTGAACCAAATTTTTTACTGATCACTGTATCAGTGTCGCTGGCGACTACGATAGTGTTTAACGCACCTCCCAGATAGCGCCAGATTGCCCGCTAATAATACACCTTAATAATCCTGTCTAACCCCTTGATCGCCCCCCCCCCCCCCCCCACCTCCCCCACCCCCCCCCCCCCAAACCACACCCGAGTTGACCCTTCTGCCCTGTCACCACTGTCATTGATCAGTGAACAGATTTTTACTGATCACCTGTATCAGTGTCGCTGGCGACTTCCGATAGTGTTAGCGCCCCTCCCAGATAGCGCCAGTTTTGCCCGGCTAGTGCACCAGAAATCCCATTTAACCCCCCCCCATTGATCGCCCCCCCCCCCCCCCCCCAGTTAAACCCCTTCACTGCCCTGTCACCAGTGTCATTGATTACAGTGGAACAGATTTTTACTGATCACTGTATTAGTGTCACTGGGTGACTTCCGGATAGTGTTAGCGCCCCTCCTAGATAGCGCCAGTTTGCCCGCTAATGCACGGGGATTTTTTTTTACCAAAAACATGTAGCAGAATACATTTTGGCGCTTAAATTTATGACTAACTTTGAGTTTTTACGATATATTTTTTATAGCTGAAAGTTAGAAAATATTGTTTTTTTTTTCAAACATTTAGTGTTTTTTTTTGTTTATAGCGTCAAAAAATAAAAAGCGCAGGTGATACAAATACCACCAAAAGAAAGCTCTATTATGGTGTGAATCAAAAGGACGTAAATTTGTTTGGGCTACTACAGCATTGCATGATCCGCGCAATTATAATTTGATATTACTGCAGCGATCTGTTGTATAGCAAAAAAAGGCATACACTTACAGTTATCTATTACCATAGCGTTACACGCTATGGGGTATAGATACTGTAATGTATGCCTTTTTTAACTTTCACACAAAGGAATCAATATACACTGTATTGGGATTTTTTTTACCAAAAACATGTAGCATGAATACATTTTTGGCTTAAATTTATGACTAACCTTTGAGTTTACGATATATTTTTTATAGCTGAAAGTAGAAAATATTGTTTTTTTTCAAAATTTTCGATGGGTTTTTTTGTTTATAGTGCAAAAAAAATAAAAAGCGCTCACAGGTGATGATAAAATACCACCAAAAGAAAGCTCTATTTGTGTGAAAAAAAGGACGTAAATTTCGTTTTGGGTACAGCATTGTGCATGATTCCGCGCAATTATCATCGCTGAATTAGTGCAGCGCCAAAACAGCAAAAAAACGGCGGCCTGGTCAGTAAGGGGGGGTAAATACTCTGGGGCTCAATTTTGGTTAAAACTTTAGCCATTAATTCCTTTGGGGAAATTTTTTTCTTTGCTTCCTGTCTCTGTAACACCTGCTACAGTAGGAAAAAAAGTGGGGAGGAGATGTTATTTGACCAGCTTTTCCTCCAGTCATGGAGCTCCCTCTGCCATGTTCAGCAGTTTGCAGTAGCACAGGCTCCCCATCATGATCTGTATCCTTTTGAAATGGGCCATGAAAATAGTAGTTATCAAAATGCTTATCCAAGCGTAGAAGAACAAAGAGTGGATAGTAATATCTCTTTCCTTAAAAATGGCCCCCTCCCTTTTTTTTTTTTTTTTTTTTTTTTTTTTTTTTAAGTTTCTTGATTTAAAATTTTTTTTTTTTTTTTGGGGGAATATAGTTTCTGCAACAGTGTAATTTGTCTAGGGGGGTAGATCCATAATAGACTTCTTACATATTCATGCTGTACTATCTGCTTAGAACACATGACAATATCTTGTGCCTGGCTACTCCTTACTCACGAGCTTTAATCCTGAGCGTGATGCAGAGGATGCCAAACACAACTCGATTATAGATGAATGGGACGAAGAATTTGATAGTGGAAAGGTAAATTTGGGTTATGAGTGCAACATAAGTTGAGTTTGTACATTTTTGCATTTTTATAGAATTTTGGGTAAATGGTTAAAAAGGACCTGCAGAGGGCAAGGGTCTAGTCACCAGTATTATCCGTGACAAATGGACAGGTGGACCCGATCGGTCTGCCCGTGTGAAAGGGGCCTTAGAGAGACACTGTCACTTTGGCCGCTTAGGGAAAAGTGACAGTTCTGCTGATGGTCAACCCCCTACTCTTCCTAGAAAGAAAAAAATATGCCTATATGTGCATTTTGGTTGCCTCTTGAATGGCCAAGTGCACTGTCCCTAAATTTGTCACATGGAGGTGCAGGGGCATCATCCTCTGGGGCAGCCATTTTCAACCAAGGTGCCCAGACACCCTGGGGGGCCTTGAGTTTTCTTCAGGGGTACCTTGGAAAATATCTAAAAATTGCCCAAAAGTTGTGTACAAGCCAGCGGTTGGAACAAGCCTGCCTTTTAATTACACAAAGCCACAGGTTTTCATTGTGCACCATTACTACTTTCTGGCCGCTGGTGTCCTGATAACCAATGACCTCATCAGTTGATAAGGAGGATGTCAGCTGCCTGTACAGCATCTCCGTCAGTGCTGGGGAGAAGAGAAAGGCTGGAATACTAGTCAGTACCAGTGTGCAAATGTGCATTTACTTTGGAAGAATAAATCACCTCTAACATTGGGTGTCCCACATGTGTGGATGTTACTGTGTTGTATAAAACTATTAGAATAGTTTTCACATTTTAGAATGGGGGTGCCCTTTTAAAATTATGGACAGTCTTGAGGCACCCTTTAAAATTTTGAAGGGTGCCTTGACGGAAAAAGGTTGATAAATACTACTCTGGGGTAAGCTCTAACGCCAAGCTTACCTCTGCACCGTGAAGGCAGCGAGGTAACGTACATAGGCAACTATAATTTTTTTCTTTTTGGAGGACGGTGGCTGCTACAGAAAACTTTGTGACAATGCCTCTTTAAACATGATATTCAAAACGCTAACACTGGCGTATAAAGCCGTTCATAACACTTCCCCTAATTACATCACCGACCTTGTCTCTAAATACCACCCAAACCGTACCGCTCCTAGCAAGACCTCCTACTCTCTAGCTCCCTTGTCTCCTCCTCCCATGCCCGTCTCCAGGATTTCTCAAGGGCTTCACCCATCCTCTGGAACTCCCTTCCCCAATCTATCAGGCTATCGCCTACTCTGCTCACTTTTAGGCGTACTCTGAAAACCCATCTCTTCAGGGAAGCCTACCCCAACCCCAGCTAATACTGGAATCCTCTACTCTTCCTACCACTCCATCCCCCACAGCTAATTACTTCTTGTACCACTAGCCCCTCCCTCCTAGATTGTAAGCTCCAAGGAGCAGGGCCCTCTAATCCCTCTTGTA